GCAGCAGCAACTCGCTCGGCAAGATCGCGTTTGGCGCTAGCTCGTAGACCACGTGTACCACAGTCTGGTCCGCCGCGGCCTGGATCAGGTAGTGGTCCACGAAGCCGGGAGTCTCGCCTTTCGGCGTCGGCATGCCGACGGAGACGGGGCACGGACTGTACGGCGTAAACGGGCTGCTCGGCTTCCAGGGCTCTGTCTCCCCGTCGTAGTAGTTGAAATCGTAAAGCGCGGGCCGGTAGACCTTGCTGCGGTTGCTGAAGTGCTTCGAGCCGTACGCCGCCAACAGTTGCAGCAGCTCTTTGTCCTCCAAAATTTGCAGCACAGCCAGCTGGCAGAGCACCCACTGTATGATGCTCGTGCGGTCTAAGCAGTCGAGGCAGTTCACGCGGAACACGCCGGTCTGCACCACGTCGTCGAAGCTCGAAAAGTAGCGCACGTCTTGCGAGAGCTGCACGACGTTCGACGTGCGGAAAAAACTCAGCAAACTGAAGTTGAAGCCGACGTTCGAGTTGTAGTCGTGGAAGTCCCAAGCCAAGTAGGTGGTCCGCGGCGTTGCGGCGTCGCCCGGGCTGAGCAGTGCGCTGGCCTCGGCCTCAGACTTGACGGCGTCGAAGAGCAGCTTGAAGTACTTGGCGAGCGAGGCTTCGGCCTTCTTCGAGTTCGAGAGCAAGTTGACGTAATGCACGTCGCCGTAGGCGGAGGTGAGCAGTTGTTGGTGCTGGAGAAACGCGACGAAGTTGTTCTCGAAGGTGTTCTTGATGGTCGTCGAGTCTTTGAGAGGGTAGCCGGCTTGCGCCCAGTACAAAGGCACGCTGCCACGGACGGTCACGTAACTCTGCCAGCCTTTGAAGCTGTGCGGCGAGGCGAGGTTCGACTCGAGAAAGCTCCAGGTCTTGTCGTCGCGGAAGCGAATGTACAGAATGTATTCAGACTCGCAGAAGTTCGAGGCGTTGCCGACGCTGTCGACGCCGCGCGACACGAAGCGCGTGCCGCCGCGCAGCGCGCTGCGCCGCGTCAGTAAGTACTGGTGCAGCAACACGTTGCCGTAGTTCTGCACAGCGGTGATCAAACTGCCCTGCACCACCGGACAGAACCATTCGAACGAGACCGCCGTCGGGATCATGTTCCGGTTCCACACGAACTCGGGCGCTGCGAACTCGAGCAAGCTCGGAAAGGTCGCGGCCGCGTCGGCGGGCGAGGCGCCGCACTTGCTCGCGGCGGGCCGTAACCGCGAGCCGCAGACGAAGTGCTCGAGGTGGACCGTGCGTGGACTCGCGTTCGGCAGCACTTGCGGCAGCGCGAGGATTTTGCGCAGCGCCCAGAGCTCGTACTGCGCCTGCATGCTGCGCGTGAGGTCTGCGTCGAAAGAGTAATAAAAGAAGCCGTGCGCGAAGAGCTTTTCGATGTTGGTGACCGCGGCCCACAGCTCGCTCGGCAACAGGTGCTCGGCGCTGCCGCCGTTCGCGGGCTTCGCGCGCCGCGCGGCGAGATACTGCGGCACGTTGCTGTTCAGCGGCACGGCGAGCACCTCGAGAATGTTGTGGATCGCGCGGCGCTTCGGGTACACCTTTTGGCAGTTCTCCAGCGCGATCTTGGTGGTGTCCGCGGTGCAGACGCCCAGCGGCGAGAGGTCCGGCGGCAGGTGCGTGCAGACCGTCGAACTGGTTTCGAACACCATAATCGTCGTGGCTCCGCACTTGACGAAGCCGACGACGCAGTCGGTCGCGAGCGTCAGCAGCTGCGCGTCGTCCTGCGCGTCGAGCGGCAGCCCACAGCTTTTGTAGTCGCGGAACGAGACGGGCGCGTCCCCTCCGAAGGCGACCTCGAGCACGGAAATCTCGTCCGCGTTCGCCGCGAGCTCCGCTTCGGCGCGCAGTGAGACGAAGACCTTGTGTGGCACGAACGTGAGGGCAAAGCGGCAGCGCGGCATGTTCGCAGTCAAGCGCGGGGCGCCACCGCGGCGCGCGGCACTAAAACAAGAAAGCGGACTCGGAAGCAAACCGGCGGACCGCAACGGCCGGAATTTCGCAGATCGATAAATGCGCCCTTAAACCGATTTTTCCGGCACAAATCGGCTGGCCGCGGGCCGCGGCGCGGCGCGGTGCGGCGACGCACTATTTCGCGCGCAGTGCACCACGCGAAGGTTTATAAATCTAGCGTAGCGGCCTGTGAGCGACTCGCTATGCGCATCGACACGCGTGCCTACGCGGCGCCCGAGCGGCTGACGGTCAGCTGCGCGGCCGTGCGCTTGGCGCAGGTCGCGCCAGTCGCGGGCGCGGAAGAGGTGCCGCGCGAAAGCGTAGAGCGGCTGGCGCGATGCGTCGCGCAAAACGTCGAGGCGCTGCGGTTGCAGGCCGAGACGCTGCTGTTCGTGCACTGGAAGAGCGAGATGCTGTTTAACCACGTGTTTGCGGCGCTGCTGTTCGAGCACGCACGCGGCGCGGCGGCGAGCGCGCTGCTCGAGCTGCTGTTTGGGTACAAGACGCAGGTGCTCGCGTTCCGGCACAAGGCGGAGACGCAGCTGGCCTTGCAGATGGCGCTGCTGGACGCGCTGCGCGCAGCGCTGCGCGGCGCGGGCGCGACGCTCGCGCTGGAAAAGACGCTGCTGGCGCTCGCGCGCGCGGCGCGCGCGCTGACGGTGAAGCTGCCGTGTCTGGGCGCGCTGCTCGCCGGCGCGGGGTTGTCGTGCGTCGCGCACGTGGAGGCGCGGCGGCCGTTCGACTTCGACCTCGTGCTCGAGTTCGGCGCGACGGAGCGCGAGCGCGAGCCCGCGCTCGCGGGCGCGGGCAGCATCGCGGAACTGCCGCGCTACCGCGTCGCGCCGGGCCGCGGCGGCGCGCTGCAGCCGTTCTGCCGCGACATTCGGGACGGCCGCGAAGCGTTCGCGCTGCACGAAGCTGCGCTGCAGCTGCGCGCGGCGCACTACGCGCTCTTCGGCGACGCGCGTGCTGCGAATTTGGTGTTGTGGCTAGCGTACAACGCGGACGCGTTCAACGCGGAACTGCCGCGCGTGGCGCAACTGTACGCGAACGACAAGGTGAAGAGCGCGACAGACACCGTACTCGACTGGCTCGCGCACCTCAGCTGGCAGCACGACTTCAACCTGAACGACTTCGAGATGAAGTGGACCGACGCGGCCTTCGTGCGCCCGACGCTCGCGCTCGACCGCGTGCTGCGGCGCGTCGACGCGGAGCGCTGACGCGGAGCGCTGACGCGGAGCGCTGACGCGGAGCGCTGACGCGGAGCGCTGACGCTCGCGCTACAGCTTTTCGAACTCGTTGGC